ATATGCATATTGCCGTATTTGAATTTCAACTCCCAATATCTCTTAAAATATGCTTTCAACAACGTTCATTGGATTCAGTATTTTAATAAACAAGGTTGTAGATAATATTTTTCATCAAATTACGATTTTTGAAAAATCATGCGATAAGTCCTTTAAGGTTTTGACAAAGGTCAAGATGTCCAAAAAATTATTTTTACAATAGCTCCCAAACTATGTGAGGTATAAGTTTAAAACTTTTACAGGTTATATATATATATATATATATATATATATATATATATATATATATATATATATATATATATATATATATATATATATATATATATATATATATATATCGCTGATTGACAGATAGAAAGTATCACTTGTCACCAAAAAAAAAAAAAAAATAAAAAATAAAAAAAAATTAAAAAAAATACATTTTTCGAGAAAAGGGCAAGTTGGACGTGAAAGGCCTCTGAAAGGCTGTTATTGAAACCATGGCGTGTATAAAGACAAGACCCCAATAAGATCCGCCATTTGCAATGTACTTTCGGTTTCAAATCTTAACATATGGACAAAATAAAACAAGGAAAACAACTTTCAATAGGCTATCGAGGTCCAACTTGCCCTTCATTGATAAACATATATTGTTTCTGCAATAATGGCTTCACTGAAGGTACGGAATTAAGTGTAATTTTTAAAAATATATGCATTTTTTAAAAGATTTTTTCTCGATAAATATTTTTTAAGTATTTGTTATCAAGTGATACCTTCTATCTCTTAATCAATGATATGTTTATAAGCTGTAAAAGTTTTAACTTTATAAACCACATAGTTTGGGAGCTATTGTAAAATTAAATTTTTTGACATGTTGACCTTTGGCAAAACCTTAAACTCTAGGCTAGTTTTTAACAAATTTAAATGAAACTTAACAAAAGACGTTTTCCCCGTTTGACTGAAACCTAACACCTCCCCCCCTTGCCAAGCACTGGCGTCATTTTAAACCCTAAGATTTTATCACTCTTAACAAAATTTACATAAATATATCATACAACTGACTGAATGTTTGCTTGTCCTCTTAGGATAAAAAATAATTCAAAAATACTTTAAAGAATATGAAGTTAAAATAGTAATTAATAGGATGAGAAAATTTCAGAATGAATGAAAAAATAATTGTTTTTCTGGAAGTCAAAAAAAAAATTGGAGGTGTATTGTTCTCGGACAGTTGGTCTTACAGGGCAAACAAACAATTTATTTATTTTTTTTGGCAGAAAAGATGTTATTGAATAAATTTAAGAGTCATTCTCTGTAAGCATCAAAGAATTTAGAAAATAGTTGGAAATGGTACATCAGAGATTTGGCTGATATTTTGCATGTAATGTAGAAACACCATGTATAGGTCATATTTGGGGTCAACAGACAAATTTGAGTACCGGTTGCCATGGTTACCAAAACCATTTTTAGCTCATAAATGAGCAGCATTCTACTAAAATTGTATCCACTTCATCTTAATTTTTTATTTTCTACATACCCGTACGAACAAGTGAGGCGTAAACCAGCTGGATGAGACATGGAAACCAGCTGGTTTCTAGACGGAATTCAGAATTACGTGTCTTTACCAGGCGTACATGAGCAGGACACGTATTCCTGCTCTTTGCACACACGGAATACGTGTCATTTTCCGCCTCATGGGCCAGGCGTAATTCTTGTATCAGGCGTAACTTTTTAAAACCAGGCGTAATGCTGAACTTAGTAAAATTGGTAAGGCGTAATGTTGGACTTAGAAAAATTAGTGAGGCGTAATGTTGGACTTAGAAAAATTGGTGAGGCGTAATGTTGGTCTTAGAAAAAAATAGAAAAGGTACAATGTAGGCAAAACATTATATTTCACTTTTCTTTTGTTAACAATAAGTCCATTGGCAATATTTACAGTGAAATACTTTATAGATTAGAAAACTTTAAGATAAATATTTCAGCATTTGTGTTTGTCCTTCCCAACATCATTGTTGAGCTAAGATAATTTCTAGCTGAAATTACAGTCCCATCACAGATGTCCTTATAAGTTCCACCAGCTATATTTCTGTTAAACCACTCTTGCATTTTGCTTTAAAAAAATCCATCTTGAAAAATAATAGATTGTGGAGTAGATTTATAACAGGTATTTCCAGAAAGAAGTTTTTGGCTTCTTAAATGGTGTTTGACAAAATTCCTTTAGACAGATGACACAATCAACATTTTATTGGCCCCCAAACAACGATGACAATGAAAGTGGTAAGCACTGTCACAAAGGTTCCTTAGTTGTTTTTTTTTTTTTTGGACAACTGTTAAATGCATATATGTCAAATGGTATATGAAATGTGTTCTGCTAGCATCACATCTCAAATTATGTTCAAAAGTTGTTGGATTCATCATCTATTTTTGGTACAAATCACAGCAAGCACTAACATGAATACTCTTATTGAAATACGGATGTTACAGAGCAAAGAATGAAGTTGGAAGTCTTGATCATCATGCTCCGTAACATTGCAATTTCTTCAGTGATATCATCCAAAATGTATTCCTCTTCATCAGATAAATCAGAAAAGAGAATACTATCCTCTTCATTATCAGAAAAATCCTCATCACTAAATTTTATGTATCTTTTTGGCAGTTGGGGTTCTTTGTTTCTTAAATGTTGTCATGTTACTCATCAAATCGTCCAGCTCAGACTCTTCATGGTTAGACATCTAATTCAAGAATAAAACACTACTATTATCCAGTTAATCAAATGCATGCAAGTGAACATTAATTTAATCAACTAAAATAAATATATTTTTAAAAACCAGAAATTGGTGTGGAGGTTGTATTGTTACAAGCTAATCAATATGTACAAAAAAATAATTAATTTTCTTTAAACATATTGAGAAAAAAAAATCGATGAGAACTCATTCGTATTTTTTTTCTCTTGCTTTACATGTACTGTATGATCATCAACAGCTGATCAAGTAGCAGGGATCTATATACGTCCCTGCAAGTTGCAAGAAGTAAATAATTTGTGATCTAATAGTAAAGCGATACAAACAAAACAAAACAATGTTATTTAAGGTTACCTACCTCGCTCATGATGATTATTTCTGCGCCATCGTCTTCTAACTTTAGAGTCGATTTAGTTCCGAGATAATTCGAGTTGCAATCTGTAAAACGGAAGTAACATTCTATTAAATTGATTGTCGATCCCGATATATGTAGGTCGATCTTTTTTTTCTTTTTTTTTTTTATTAAAAAAAAACTGTAAAATACTTACCGATATCAGTTTCCTAGAATCTTCTACTGTTTTCGCGCAATCAATGATTCCTGTTCTTGTTATTTATGTCGGCAAATTTACACATTTCGATCACAAATTCTGTACCTTGTAATGCATCTCATATTTTAAATCTCCATCGTTCCATAAATTAACTTGAGCTGAAATTTGCTAAATTTTACAAACGCTTTCCGTAAGTAACCTTCTTTATTTTGTTTGGTTATTCCATGATTTTCCAGTGTGCCGAGAACAACTGTAAACTAAGGTGTTTTCTCAGAGGCCAAGGAGAATCGCCTTACAAAATGATCTCAGTGAAATTTATTGATCTACACATTGATTTTGCATCTTAAAAAAAAAAAATCGACAAATTAATACTAAAAGAACGCATTTTTTATTTTGAGAGATTATTTTGGGGAAAATTTGTAATAGCTTTTGTATCGATCCCGTCGTGAACCTCAACAGTAGAGCATCTTCGAACCGGGGCTGCAGAAACTTGATATCCCACGCTATCAAAATCCCGCCCGCATGGTCATTTCAAATTTTGTTGCTTTGAAAGAAACATTGCCCTGCCGATTTCTACTTGTTTCTGACAACTTGGTTTTACTTGAAAGTGAAAATACTTCGATGAGGATTGCAGTTTGACTGTCGTGGGAGAAAAAGACAAAACGTTGACAATAAGGACGGAATTCGAAGTGAGATACCATCATTCATGGCCCCATCATCAGTGGTAAGAATTTTTTTAGATTTTCATACTCATGATACTCCAGCGAGGTTAACACTTTGAAATATATCATATAGTATTATCCATAAAAATTTAAGAAATGTGCTTTGAAAATCATTTTGTTAACATGTATAATGATTAGATTACATGTAGCATTCGTGTTTGTTTACGCATGGAGACCTGTCGTATTTGTAAACTACTGCTGTTCTATACTCCATGATTTTTTTTAAAATTATCTTTCTATCGCATAATTATCATTTTTAGTATTTATCATTTCGAAAAAATATATACAAAACAAAAAATATACGAGGCATTTTCCACTTTTTTTTTTTTTTTTTTTAAAAGTCGGGTTCAAGATTAGGGAAATATAAAGTCGCATGGATCACAACATGGTATGATGGTATGAATTATAAATTTGCCACACGGCGCGGTGGCTGTCTTAAAAATTTTACTAGACAAAATAATTACAGTAATTTTAATCAAAAGCTGTCCTGATAACAAATAGAGTGCACTTTCTGATAAGCTGACCATGTTAATATGGTTAAGGTGATGTTTAATGGGTTGCTACAATGCATAGGTGGATCGGAAACTTTTCATACCCAATCAATATATATATATATATATATATATATATATATATATATATATATATATATTTATTCTCATAAGTTTCTTGTATTCGTTCCTTCCTACTGACTTACAATGGGTCTGTTTTGTGTTTCTTAAAAGGGGGGGGGGGGTCAAGCTCAGATATGCTACACAAAGCTCACATTTCTTGGTGATAATTTTTTTATATGTGTGTGTATTTGTAGATGATGAAGAGGAACTAACAAAGTTTGCTATTCGGCATGCAGCAAATTATTAGGAAACTTGCAGGAGAAAGCAAAAGATATTCCAGAGAGACTGTTTAATTTCTCAATCTAAACACAGAGAAAGCAAATGGGAAGAGAACAAGGGCTCCAACAGACAAAATAAAAGAAATTAAGGAACATGATGAAGATGATATCCCAAATAATAAGAAGAAAAACACTGAGGATACAAGAGAGAAGAAACAGGAGCTAAGTCCCAAGGAAAAGAAGATACCAAGTCACAAAACTCCTCCCTTGAGAAAACACTCTACTACCAACATTCTTTCATTGGTAGTAGTAGTAGATATTAGCATTTCATCCCATGGAGGATTGTGTTGAGGTTAGATAATAATAAAAAAATAAAAACCTAAATAAAGTATTTGTAAAATACGCATTCAATATTTGATATATTTAACTATATGCACGGCTTTAATATATTTCTATTCCTATCATCCAGATAATCAAGAAGCAAGCTTCCTGTGTCCAAATCCTCCTTCTTCAGAAAAACCAAGGGAGAATGACCAGGATATTTCACCCCCTGGAATATCTGAAGGGGTAAGATTTTCATGCCCCCAATTGAAGGATTGGGGATATATAGTGTTTGGTCTGTCTGTTTGTTTTCCTGTCAACCCATTATGTAATACAACAATTTTTTTTTCTCTAATTGTAAATACTGATCTTGTTGGACATAATGCATGTGATTTCAGACCTACATTAAAGCATGGCTACAATTTTCCTTCAGGTTATGCCCTTTAGTGGTGTGGAGAAAATGAAGGAAAAAAGTGAACCAAGAACTGAACAATGCCATCAAAGAGCAAGTCTCATTGCAGGACAAAAATTTAAAAAGGAACATGGGAAAGAAAAATATGAGAATGCAAAGAAGAGCTCAGTGCACGATACAAGCTAAGCTAATGTAAAACACACTTATTGCGAAGTACAATGAATGAACAATTTTGATTAGGCGTAGTTCATTATATCCATTAAGTTCACAGCAATATTCTAAAATTTAAGGAAATGAAAATCACTATAACCATGAATTCATTATAAGCATCTCTGCTGTAATACAAAGTCATCAGAGATTGGTACACTGTATTTTCAAGATAATTTATAATTTTTGTATAATACAAATTTTGAGTTTTCCTTAAATGGGAAGATTTATTAATGTAAAGTTTATTTGAATGACATTTTGTTGTCCATCAAAATGTTAAGAAAAACTGCCTTTGAATGTTATTTAAATTGATACTAAGATATGGGTGTTTTGATAAAATAAATACTTAGTTTTCAAAACATGTAATGTATTTTGTATATATCATTGTGTATTGCATGCCTGGACTTTTTTACGCCTGGACATTTTTACGCCTGGACAGTACGATCCTTAACGCCTGGTCTATTGAAGAGGCGTAAAATTTGCATATTACGCCTCTTTTTACGCCTGGTTTCCGTCTCATTTGACGCCTGGTTTACTTATATGGTATTGAGTCAAAATCTGCCTGGTTTTTGCAGAGCATGACGCCTGGTTTACGTGTTATTACCAGGCGTACAATTTCGTACAGGTATTTCATACAGGATTGACGGTTACCTACTCTGATGTATTAATTATAGGAGTAACTACCGCAATTAGTGAATTAATTCAGTAGTTGGTCATGAATAAATGATCTTTCAATGAAAAGTGTCAATTTTTAAAAATTTATCAAATTTTAAAAAAGGAGATTTTGGGCATTTTCTACAAATAATAGCAAAAAAATGCAGGCACTCCATAGCAAATGACCACCATCAGGTAAAAGTTCATTCCATACTCAACAAAATATAAAATTTCTAGAGTGGTAATATTTCTTAAAATAAAATAAAATGAAAACAGAAATGGTTGCTATGGAGAATTTCGATTAATTTGTAGATTCTATATTTGACTGATTTTTTGTACATATCTGCTTTGATTAAATCATTAATGAAAAAATAACTCACTAATTTACCTTTTCAATTCACTTAACATTAAACAAAATAGAAATCTAAAATTTAAAAAAAAATACTACGTTGCTATGGCAACCACAAAGTTCAGGAACTAATCAAATAATTATTGATATTAACAATATAAAATAACCATAGCCACATTGCATTATAATATTTCTTCTTCTGAATCAATGAATAAATCAAATTAAGCAACTTTATCATTTTACTTCATTTCAATTCATAATTAAAAAAACAGTTGCTATGGCAACCAAATAGTTCAGGAACAATCCCTATTATTATTGATATTATCAATGTACACATCGTTGAATGTTATGTTTCTTCTTCAATAAATTAAATCATGCTAATTAACCTTGTCATTTCACTTGCATTAAAATAGAAATTCATTTAAAAAAACAGTTGCTTTGGCAACCACATTAAGATAGTTCAGGAACAGTCCCTATTATATTGATATTATCAAAATAAAAAACTAGAGACTCAGTGCTAGATCAACTTCTAATCATGTACTTACCCTCACATACACAGACGAACACTTAAATTAATAAAATACAAATATATCAAAATTACTGCAACAGGAGTGGTTTTGCACTATGTTGTTTCCATGGAAACAAACAATAAATGGATGTATAAGCAATAACTGCCAATATAAAATTCAATGGAAATTCCCTTCCCCTTCCTTTTTTTGCAGTACCCCCCCGCCCCCTTGAAAGTCAATATTATATGCCTCATATTTTGCCATACAAAGTATGCTTGGATGGAGGGCAGAAAGGAGAATGGAACAACAAAAGATGCACATGGCAAGTTATATAATTTGTCATGTGCATCTGTGATTGTTCCATTCTCCTTTTTTGATGGAGGGCAGTAAGGAGAGTGGAACAATCAAAGATTCACATGACAAATTACTGTAAACCAACTATTATTCGCGTCATCTTTTATTCGCGACTCTTCAGTTTGAAAACAATCCGCGATGATTATTTTTCGCGATTGAGGAAATGTCCTTTACAAATATATAGCAAGATAAATGGTTTGCGGCGATTAATATTGGGGAGTTAAAATAGGTCGTGAAAATCGCAGATATTTTTCGCACGTGAATAGAAATTGGTGTACAGTATATAATTTGTCATGTTCATCTTTGTTGTTCCATTCTCCTTTCTGCCCTCCATCAGTTTACATTTTTGCTCATGTAAAAAGAAACTGTCGAAGATATAATTGTCTATCATCATACACTGATTAAATTAATTTTGATAATCACAATTCAAACATTTCAAGATTTTGTGATGTTGCCCCTCTCATTCATTACATTGCTATTACATTTCCTAATGTTGATTATACTCATTGACTCTGACATTAACATTGACCTGATTTTGCACTGACCTTGCTACATGTACCTTGAATTTCATATAACTTGAAGACAAGTTCAACCATGCTAATGTTCGACTCTGAAATCATTATTCGTGACTTTGACCTAACCTTATCTATTTTTCTACTGGCCAGAGACTACCCTCCCTGCAGGTTTAGTCAGACTTCAATATCACTTGGTACATGAGTAAACTAAATCAAGAATCATTTTATTTATAAGAATAAAATTTTGAGTCAAGGAGCTTATTTTCTCTTTTTTTATTATAAAAACAAACTAGTAGTCTTGTTAGAGATATTTGTACATGTATTTTGATTTTAGGCCAAAAAAGGGTTGGGCGCAAAAAAAGGGTCGGACGGGTAGCAGAAAACAAGACAAATTATTTTTTTGGCCTTAGTTAAAATTATTAAAGTTATGTTAAAGAATACTACATTATCTTGCTGGCATGCAAAGAAACAGAAAAATATGAAATTCTGACTTTAATGAAAAATTACTCTCAGGAACTAGAAGGTACTCTGTCTACCCAAACATTTTTTAACTTATCATACTCAATAAGATCAACAACAAAAAAAACATGTATTAACATACTTGATAAATCTGACAAAATTATAAATTCATATTTTGCTCTAGTTGACAAATCATGAAATTTCACTGAATAAAGATTTTGTTTATTTGACCACTTAATACCAATATGTATTTACTAAATAATACAACTAAAACAATCCTTTACTTCTAATTAGGCATCAAGTAGCATCCCTATTATGCTTATTGTCAATAATGGTTGCATAATTTCATGAAAAATTTATTTTGTGAATCTTCAATATAAAAAAATCTCTCTTTTCATCTTTCCTGATTCTGCATTTTAGATGATTTCACTTGTGCAATCACATAATGTCATTGCAAATTTTTTCTCGGTTTTGATTATTTCTTTGTAAAATCACCATATTAAGCATACATTTCTCAGTTCCAGATAGTATTCCAGCAATTTTGTGCACTGTTTCCTAAAAAAAACCATATGGATCAATTAGCATTTACATACATAAACACTTTAAAAAAAAGAAGAAGAAAAAAAAAAAAAAAAAAAAAAAAAAAAAAAAAAAAAAAAAAACAAGAGCCATTAAATGCAAATATTGCATGAGATATGATTAAGTCCCCCAACCCCACCCCCTCATATAAAAATAAGAGAGATCTCTTCTGTTCTCCCAAAACAAAGTCAGAGACAACAGTCGCAGCAAACATTGCCAACTGCATGCATCAATTTGATTGCATAAAAATATAGCATCCCCCTTTCTTCTCCATATTTTAAACATTTGAAGTTAAAATGAACATTTCAGCCTTTGCATTGCTGAGATACAAAAATTTATATTTTGATTCCTTATATCAAATTTTATAAGGATATCTCATTAATTACAGAATTCTATTAAGTGTGAAGTAGTACTGTTTTACTAATGAAAATTTCTTTCTATATTTTAAACTTTCTTACTTAGTTGCAATTATACATGTATAATGTAATTAGAGATTATAAAACAAATTTCAAAGTTTTTCTAATTTTATATAATTAGTTCTTAAATGAAATAGCACATGACACTACCCCCACCCCTCCAAAAATAATCCAAACAAACAAACAAAATTAAGCCCTGGACACACTGAAACCTACAAAACCTGCAATGTTGTGTTTTGTTTAGCAATGTGATGGTTTTACATGTGTTTACATTCTACCTGGATCAACATGTAAAAACAGTTAATGATTGAATGAATGCAAGACAGTAACTATATATTGTTACCCCCCCCCCTTTATGCAAACACACATTGAAATTTGATGTAACTTTAAAACCAATGTAGATTTTATCATATATGCTGTATGGATAACATAATTTTCAACAACAGATATTTATTATTATATGCAGTTTGAAAACTTGACGATTATTAATTAATTTTTTTTTTAATAATTGAATTCAAATGTCATTGATGTTTTTGGATACTTTGATGTTTCTTTCTTATAGACTGATATTCATACACTGTTATTAATTAATTTACTTATAATTCACAAACATGCATGAGTTAAGAGTAAAAATTGACAAAGGTAAATAATTTTTAAAGGTTTTTTGTACTTTGATACTTGCCTAGTGATCTTATTACTGCCAGGTATCTTTCACGGCCTTATCACAAAACGCAACATAATTGTAGCTCTGGAATCCATGTAACTGCTGTTGCTTTCTTATAAATATTTTGTTTCCAATGCTTCTATTGTTCATGAAGAGCATCGGTACGTATCAAACTTGGAATTTCAATAAGGTGAAATCCATTTCAGGCTTTTCACGACCAAACACATATATTTCTCAGACACAGCAAGGCTTGACCAAACATTTAAATTCCAGTAATACGAAATACTATACAAAGTAGGTTTAAAATGACTGAAAATATCCAAAACAGTGAGAATGTTAAAATTCCTCTGAATCATGTTCTGCTCTCTACTTTCAC